ACACGTGGTTGTTCTTCTAACGTGTTAATATTGTGGCGTGATCCAATCAAAAGATATTCCGTTTTGACAAGGTTAAGAAAGAGCCTGTTCGATAGAAGCCATTCTCTGATATTATTGAGATCGACATTAACGGCCACCTCCGCTTCCTTAACTGATTTACCGGACACTGTGATGTTAGTATCGTCGGCGAACATGCGTGCTGTAGAGTGTTGTAAACAATTCGGCAAATCATTGATATAAATTAAAAACAGAAGTGGACCTAAAATTGAACCCTGAGGAACGCCATATTTTAGATATTTTAGTGTGGAAAGTTCCCCATTTACTTGACATTTCTGAGATCGATCTGATAAGTACGATTTGAGAAGCATAAGAGGCGTGTTCTTAATACCATATAACCCTAGTTTAGCCAGTAAAATGTCGTGGTTTACCGTGTCAAATGCTTTTTTTAAATCGAGAAAAACGGCAAGATTATACAAACCACGATCCATATTAACATACCACTCATCAGTACAATCAAGCAAAGCAGTGGACGTGGAATGAAAGCGCCTGAACCCAAACTGCTGTTCAGACAATAAATTATTTGTGGTAAAATATTCGTATAACTGCTCATACAAGATCTTTTCAAATATTTTGCTGATGACCGGCAAAATTGATATTGGCCTATAATTGTGATAATAAATAATTCATGAGGAAAACACAAAGAAAAATCATAAACGTGTCGTATCCTTGATATGTGATAGAGATTTCCCTTGATTTACAGAAATTTTAATGATTTTCTCTATATATACACACCGAATTTTTTGAAAGCTACTTCGCCAATGAACGTATACTAGATCGATCGTTTTTGAAGCAATTTCAAACATTCGTGTTTTATCAGACCATCTTTATATCTGATAAAACACTGCTGCTCGTGTTTTAAATAGTGCATAAAATCTCTGCAAATCTCCGCAGTTGCCGAGCAAAAAGCATGCATGATGCTAAATATAAATCTCGACTATGATTGGATAATGGGTGAAGGTGCTAATTACAAAACGTCAATCATCCTTAATGGGCGAAAACAAATTTGTCATAGCCAATTTGGGCAGGCGTTTCCTCTGTACCCGCCCGTCAGCTAAACGCCTGCTACGCAGGCTAGGGTCTTTATACCTCCGCAAGTGCGGAGGCATTAGGACTCTGGCACAGAATAAAGATCAGTACCAGAAGGGCCACTCAGCGGTGCAACGTGTCGCCATTTTTCTATGCAAAAATATGCGGTTGACTGGCCAGAAGGCGGGATCTTCAGCTAATACGGCGCGTTTATTGGCCAGAAAATGTAATCGACTGGCTAGGAAGATGGCGGCCAGGGTGACAGAAACTTCAAAGCTTCCGACGTAAGTGGCCCTTCTGTGTGCCTTATTCTGTGACTCTGGCTTGCAAGGTTGAGGATATTCAAGCAAACTGATAGAACAACACAAGCAGATACAAGATTATTTATAGTTTTTGCAATACCTACAATACAAATACTAGATTTTAAATGTAAACGTTGATAGCCATGGTACAATAGTAAGTTACAATTGTCACACAAGGTGATTTAGCTAATGAGGAAAAGTTCCTGACTTCATTGCATTCACAAATTTCACTGTCAAAATTTCACTGTAGAATAATATAACAGAGGCTCCTTAGTCAAGAGCATGTCTAAGTTTAGTCATTCATTGTTGAGAATTGCTGTGAGTTTCCTGTCACAATAAACATCCTATAAAGTCTGGTAAAATATCATTGCCCTTTGTAAAATTGCTGGTGTCGCATAAAGTTCATAAACATTTCCATCATTCTTTTGAATCAGGGCCCGCGGAGCGTATTAGAGAGTGGGGGGGGGGGCTAAAGGGTGAGGTTTAATTAATTTAGAAAGTTTCATTTAGATTTCTAACTGACACCACTATAAAGAAAAATGGGCCGGCCATTGCTAATGTGCCGGTTGAAAGGTATGCATGAGCTAATAAGTGTGTTAGCTTATTTAGGTCCAGG